AAAAAAAAAAAAAAAAAGGCCTAGGCATTGCCTAGTGTCCGCTGGGGGTGTGGGGTCAAACTGCCCCCAAGTTGACAACCAATGGTTTATACCCATTTGCTGTTCCAGAGGCATATGACCTTGCCCTTGAATGTCTTCTTATCTGTTATTGTTACTGTTTTGTTTTCAAAGAAAAAAAAAAGTCTGTTGACCCCCGAAGAGGAGACGGGTTCCTTGGTCGATGTGTTTGAGAAGTTCTGCATGCTGTGGGCGCACAGCTTGGAGATTTGTGATGCACAATAGCACATTGAAGGCTCTGGGAAGTCCTGCAGTAAAGGAATCTGTTTAGCTTTGTGCTTTCCGATGTACTTGACCGTGGATTCCTTTTCCATCAATAACTATTGAGCTTGCATGGAACACACTGTATCTTTGCTCTGACCCGGCCTCTGCCTTGGTGCCTGTCCCCTTCCCTGCATGGCCTGGCACAGTGGCGCCCTCTGCGAAACCTTCCCGCTCCCCTGTCCTCTTCCCTATTATGTGTCCATACCCGTTATTCACATAGTCACATTCACCCTTCTGCCATCACTCCAGCAAAGTTCTCGAGGGCTGGGCCCTTCTTACTCAAGTGTCGCTAGAGGATGCTCCGTAAAGGGCTGTAGGGAGAATCCGCTGATGTCTGGGTATCTGGGCTACCTCTTTAGGGGACGGGGTGAGTCACTCCTTGTCCCCTTGTTTCTCTGCGTGATGTGTTTCTCTGCTGCAGTCTGTCTGAACCGTCTTCCTTCCCCAGGCCTGGAGGACTTTGTCTTTGCTGTCCACTCTGAGCACTATAAGGGCCTGTCGTCATGCCAGACACGCAGTGCATGCTGTGAGGAGGGAGGGAGGGAGGGAGAGAGTTAGGCCCTTTCAGGAAGACAGCAAGATGACAGAGGTCAGGTGGTATCTTGGTTTCAGGAGGAAAGGCTCTGAAGAGAGTTTACTCCCAAGTGGTAACATCTGGAAGCAGCGATCTGCACCTTCCTCCCACCCAGTACCTCCAGAGCTTGGTGAGCCTGAAGTCGGATAAGTCACTTAAAGCACATAGCGCTGTGCCTGACACATTCTGAGAGCTCAGTAGTTGAGGGCTCTGACTTTGCCGGCTTCTGCCCCTGAGGGTGTCCTTTTTGAAACTTGGGACAGCTCGCTGCTGGGACAGGGAGGTGGGGGGCTGAAGTAGGGGAGACCGGCAAGCTGCTCACTGATGCATCCCCTGCAGGAGCTGGAGAGTCTCCAGGCAAAGCTTCCCCGGTACCTACGGAACCTGTTCAGCCATGATGCCGATGTCCTGGTGTGGCACGCCCTCCTCCTGCCTGTGAGTGTCGCCGGGGATCATGGCCTTTGATTAGGGTGACAGGCCAAAGCCATGGGCAGGGAGCCTGAGGACTGGGTGAGAACTTCCCCTGTCGTGGAGTCCTTTTTGTAACTGGAGGTCAGTCGTTGGTAGATGAGGTCTCTGGACTGATTGCTTCTGAGATCAGAGCAGACCGATGAAGAGGTTAAAAGATTTTTGGATCTGGTAGGAGAGCCTGTCCTCAAACCCGTAGGACAAGCCCACCCGGTGACAACCCATCACCAAGCCCACCAAGAAGCTACAACAGACAAACAGCATCAAAAGAAGAAAGAAAAGATCTTTTGGACCTTTGTCGGAGGCTGGGGATAAAGTTCCTGTTCGTAGTTGGTAGAATTTGCTCCTTCAAACCCAAAATGTATTTTGTTTTCTTTTAAAGGTCATATTCCTGGGGTGCCTGGGTGGCTCAGTTGGTTGAGTGTCCAACTCTTGATTTCGGCTCAGGGCATGATCTCACGGTTTGTGGGTTTGAGCCTCACACAGGACTCTCTGCTGACAGTGCGGAGCCTGCTTGGGCTTCTCTATCTCTCCCTCTCTCTCTGCCCCTCCTCTACGCACACTCTCTACCTCCAAATAAATAAGTAAATTAAAAAAAAATTAATGTTTTTTTTAAATTGATAGTCTTTTTAAAAAATTTTGTTTAATGCGTATTTATTTTTGAGAGAGGGAGAGAGAGCATGAGTGGGGGAGGAGGAGAGAGAGACGGAGACACAGAATCCGAAGCAGCCTCCAGGCTCTGAGCTTCAGCACGGAGCCCAATGCGGGGCTCGAACTCACAAACCACGAGATCATGACCTGAGCCAAAGTTGGATGCTTAACCAACTGAGCCACCCAGGCGTCCCCCAGAAATAAATTTAAAGATCATATTTCAGACAACTATTTCTTTTTTATTCTAGCATAGTTAACCTACAGTGGTATATTAGTTCCAGGTGTACAATAATATAATGATAGGACAACTGTTGTTACATATGGCGACGTAGATAACTCATCTTTACCATTCTGATTTGTCTCCATTTATTAGATCTCTCTCAGTAAAATCTCCCCCTGAAAATAATATTCTAGTGGACCAATCTGCGTGCAGGATTTCTCTTTTATTATTAATAGACTGAAGATCTTTTCTGTGGGAGAGTCATTATACACCTTTAATTACATGGACATAAAAATTAAAACAGTAAAACTTGTCATTAGCTCTTTGGAAGATAAAAAGAACCATTCATTTGATTATTTAGGATTTGGTCTTTTTACTGACAATGCAATGGCCTGGATTGTGCCCTCTTCTCTTTCAGCCGGCCTTTAGTCCTGAAAAATAGGGAAAGGCTTGACTCGGGGCAACATACGAACCTCGGTCGTGTCCAGTGGGCTGCTGGTTGAAGCAATCCGTTTACCTGGCTTGGAGTGAGGACAGCTGCTCTGGGCCTCAGGGACCAGAGGAAGAAGGTGCTAGAAGGTGCTCCAGGGACTGATTAGATGCCCCAGGGAGGCTAGCTCTGAGGTGGATGAGAGTAAAGGTGGAGGAGCGGGTGAGAAGGCAGAGGTGGGCGACAGGGACACCTGGGGGACGTCACATTTCAGAGAATACTGTGAAATCACAGTCGGCAAGACCAAGGTGGGGCGTCTTCTGGTCTGAGCACAATTCCAGTGTGTGGAGGGGTGTCTCTGCCCCACCTCCAAGCAATTCTTAGGACACCAGCTGGGTGTCCTACTACTAAAAACAATATTTTTAGAATTTTTAAAATGTTTTATTTATTTTTGAGAGAGAGAGAGACAGATTATGAGCAGGGGAGGGGCAGAGAGAGAGGGAGACAGAAGCACGGAGCCCGATACGGGGCTCGAACCTGTGAACCACGAGATCATGACCTGAGCCGAAATTGGACGCTTCACCAACTGAGCCACCCAGGCGCCCTCCCAAAATCATGTTTTAATGCTTATTTATTTAGAGAGAGGCAGAGAGTGCGAACAGGGGAGGAGCAGAGAGAGAAGGAGAGAGAGAATCCCAAGCAAGTCCCGCACTGCAAGCACAGAGCCCAACTTGGAGCTTGAACCCAACAACCATGAGATCATGACCTGAGCTGAAATCAAGAGTCGGACGCTTAACCAGCTGAGCCACCCAGGCGCCCCTGGATGTCCTGTGTCCTACTATTTAACTCACTTCTGACTCCATCTACCCTGGAGATAGCATCGGATCCCACAGATTAAAGGCTGGGTTCCACATGACTGTCCCTTTTACACACCCTCCCCCTTCTCCTGTCAGATGTCAGTCCCAAGTCCCGGTTGCTTCTGACTGAATGGTTATAAATCAGAGGCTCCCATGACCCCTTCTTCAGGCTCACTTAATTTGTTAGGGTGGCTCACAGAACTCAGAAGCATTTTACTTGCTAGATTGCCAGTGCAAGATGGGGGAAGGGCGCGGGGCTTCCGTGCCCTCTCTGGACACGCCATCTCCCCAAGCCAACACGCGTTCACCAGCCCAGAAGCTCTCTGAACCCTGCCCTTCTGGGTTTTCACAGAGGCTTTATTACGTAAGCATGATTGATTAAATCTTTGGCCTTTGGTGACTGAACTCTAGCCCTTCTCCCCTCCAACCCTCTAACCCCCTGGTTGGTTCCCCCTGACTATAGCCCCCCTCCTTAGGTGCTTCCAAAGCCACCTCATTAACATAACAAAAGACATTTCCGTCACTCTCAACACTTGGGATTGGGGGACCAAAGGCTGATGCAGAACAGCCAGCTAAGGGGGCCCAGAGGTGCCTGATGAAGCCGTAAAGGAGGAATGGTTGGAGGGCAGGGGAAGGAGAACCCAGACAGGTCTGTGGGATGAGCTGACAGATTGTCCCTTAAAAGCTCAGTCTCCGTATACATGCTCACCAAGGTGGCCCCACCTGTCACCTCTTATCACGGAAGCTGACAGTGGGATGAGCTTTTGAAAGCTAATAGTAAGAGTTGCCATTCATTACCCACTGTGGACCGAGCCCTGTTTCCAGGGCATTGCCTGAGCAGTCGTACTGAGCCCTCTCAACCGCTCCGTGAGGAAGACTGACATCTTTTTAGGGTTGGGGAAATGGAGGCTGAGGCAGTTGAGTAACTTGTCACACAGAAGGTCACACAGAACAAGGTGGCAGGATACTGACTTTTCTATGATTTACTAATGGCTAAAATAGGGTCACTTTTGAGATTGGAAAGAAAAATTCTAGGGCTCTTAGGATATTGATGCAGAACAAAATAAGTTTATGATTAGCTTCCAATTATCAGTGCTGCCAAAATAACATAATAGTAGTATAATATAATAGTATTAATATAATATATAATATAATTATATAATTATAATATAATATAATA